GACGTTGCGAAAATGAGATGTTTTTTGGTAAAAGACGAATTAGTTTTTTCTTATCTCATCTTTTATTACCTGATATGCGTTATTAGAAAAAACAAAATATACTACAAGACGCAGCGTGAAAAGCTCTACAATTTACAAAGAACAATTATAAAAAGATGATATAGAAAAAAAAACAAATTCGTCTTTTACCAAAAAACATCTCATTTTCGCAACGTCGAAATTTGGTCGCTCAGAGATTTGTCCATTTTCAAAATAAAAAGTGCAACTATAAAATAAATGACCCTTTATGAATTGTAGAGCTTTTCACACTGCATCTTGTGGTATATTTTGTTTTTTTAATACAACGTATTAAGTGATAATAAAATGAAATGCAAAAGTACCCCATTTTTATGCCACACCCATTATATGATCTAAATGCTACCAGCTAATTTACAACAAAAACAGTTCTTATCGAAATTTTATTATTATAATATTAGTTGAATAGTGATCAAATAGCATAGAAAAATAGAGCGAAAGACGCTCTATCTGTTCACAAAAAAAGAAAATTTTTGAAAGCTTTCTATAAGAAAAAAAGTACCTGGATCACTACTTTTGGATAACCCTAAGTATTTTAAATTTTTTAATATGATTATCGAATCATGCTTGAATTTTTTCTTTCGTTATCTTTATTTTTGAAAACTCTTTTTAATAGATCCCTGTGAGAAACAAATTTATACCTGAAAATTGGTTTCTCTTGAAAAAAAGACATTTTTTTGTAAACATCAACGACAATCCGATGTTCTCAAGTGCTGAAAAGTTCCTGAATTAAAAATGTTATGCTACATACTAGTGATGAGCGAAATCAATCATTTTTGATCCTGATCTCTAGTGTTATCCCTGATTACAAAAAAATATTTGGTTCCTTTACCAGTCAGATATGAATATGATGAATTATTTTAAAATATTGAATCGAACTGACACCGACTGAAGTCACGAATCAAGTCATGTCTGTCTCTAGTACTAATTTCAGAGAGACTGGAAACAAAGACACCTTGGCCATATCTATTTATGTGGATCTATAGCAATGTGACGCTCTACTGTTTAGCAAATTTATCTGAACGTCTATTATTGTTTTTATTTAGAAATGAGCAAGGAACAAGAATGACTTATATTGTCGATGATATTTTGTCATTCGACATCTTTTTGGATTGATTGATTGATTGAGTTATACATGTATGCCAGAGAAAGAATGATCAATGTTAATCGTGGCTTTTCATTAGAGCCAGGTAAGTCACACGAAAGATACCTTAAGTTCAAGTGAAGTTGAGTTAGACTTGAATTAATTTTTTCTACGTGCAAGATCTTTAGAAGAATGCTGTCTGTACTGAAAAATCTATTTCTTGAATTTGATTTCACAATCTAAGTTTGTCATATCAACTTTGTGAAATGCTTTGCCAGGCAAAGAACACTCGTTATAATCGTGATCTGCTAATGGATGAGATATTTCAAATATTAATTATTAAGAACAAAACAACATAAATAAAAATATCTCTTGTCACTCAAATTATTTTCTGCGACATAAAAAAAACTATTAATTGGTTTCTTTAGATTGAAAAAGTATTTTTTGTAAGCTATATTTCGGAATCAATATTGTGAATGATGAAAAGATTAATCTTTATGAATATTCAAATTCACAGAAACTACGTAGAAGTTAGAATAATTTTATTTTTTCTGTTCCGAAAAATTGTCGATTAGAAACAAGTGAAAACATACCTGTGCTTGGTGATTCTGTGTCTATTGTAGTTGAAGACTTTGTCCTTGGTGATGAGGTTAAAGATTTTTGTGGACTTAATAGAGGTTCAATTTTCAATAAACGAAATTGATGTAAATCTTGAAGAATGAAGAGCTTTTCAGGAACGTCAAATATGGTCCATGTAAAATCAACATTAATATCTTAATTTGTAGGCTTGAGCGTCGTCATATCATACGCTTGTAAGTAAAGTTTTTCAATCTGAAAGAAAAAAGAAACGTAACCAAACATATCAATATGCAAAATATCGAAATACATCAAGAGTGAACATAAGAATTCACTTCTAAATCCTCTACGCATCGAACTTACGAGGAAACATTCAGAACCGATAAATCGCGTTTTAAATTTTAGTGAAACCAGTTTGTAGAGCTTGTTGAGTTATTAACTGATATAACTATCATTTGAGCCAAGAGTTCGTTTAAGATTGAATTTCTCTTAATCAAAGTTTGCATTAGTCTATCATACCTATGGGATTAAAGGTCAAAGGTTAGCCGGCAATAACAATGGATTGACCTGTGACTTTTTATTTTAGCATAGACACACAGACAGTCACTGCAATATCTCTCTGCGCGGATCTATCGCAAGTTAATGATAATGATATGACTCATAAAAATGATGAAAACATAAAACTCTTTTACAATTGACAAACGCACATTTTATAAATGAACTTTCTTCACACAAAGAACAAGTCAAGTGAATATTATGAAAACAAATTTGATCGACAGCTTGAAATACTTCATAGTTCTTTGAAAAATAACCGGCTTTAATCCAAGCATATCTCCTCATAGGTGCGAATACATCTAATATTAGCTGATTGTAAATTAGTGACTGTAATTTTATTATTCCATTACGTAACTCAACAAGCTTTACAAACTGGTCTCACTAAAATTTAAAACGTGATTTATCAGTTCTGAATGTTCCCTCGTTAGGGCTAACTAAAAGTCCTTAGAACGGTGTGTAAAGGACGTTGTCGGATAAAGTAACCTATTCAGAAATGGAAAGCCAAATATACCATGTTATAGAGCTTTTTGAGGCACGTCGAATGATATGTAGATCATTTTGATCACAATATCGACACTAGTTATTTGAAAGACATGCTTGAGTATGAAATACACCAAGCACTCGTGCGTATATCAAAACATGAATGTTTTATTATGATATTTTTGTTCGAATTCGATAACACTATTCAATTCATGTTCGTTTTCAACGAACATTTTACTACCATACTCAAATAAATTTTGTTATATGTTGTACTGTGAATTCAATTATTTATAAGATTTCTTCAAGGATTTGTCGATGTGTAATTACATCTTGAGAAGAATAAGACACTTGTTTGATGTTTTCATGATGGTTGGAATAACCAACTGTTGTAGCTTTTTTTTCTTATCTCTAAGTTGTTGAGTAGATATTATTAATCTAAGATGGTCGAAAAAGAATTGCTAATTGGAAAGTGAGGAGAGTATCTCGTTCTATAAGATCTTGTATTCCCCTTGAGGTTTTTCTTTTGTAATTAGTATAGAGCATTTGAGTGTTTTTCTTTATTAAATATACTGTTGCAACATTAATATTTATTATCAACGAGCAAAAAAGAACAGTAATATATCCTTATAATTAACAATAAATGAATATAATTTATGTGAAAGGTTTATTTTGCTTTGTCGTAAATTATACTATTATAAAACAATTGAAAGTTGCTAATGTTTTTACTGTGAAAAAGAATTGAGAAAAACATTATTTTCTTTTGTATTTTTCTGTTCTAATATCTGAAAAAATAAAGATTTGTCTTAAAAACACTTGAAAAAAATTACGAATCATTTTTATTTTGCATACATTTTTGTGTTCTAAAGAAAATTATAGCGAATATTTGAAAAGTCTTTATTCTTCTTATCTTTTTGTTTCGTTATCATCTAAAGGCACTATCTGTTTTACAGAATTTACTGTCATCAAAAAATAAGGAAGGTCAACAGAAAAGTATATTTGTCACAAAAAAGAAACAACAACAACAACATAATATCTTGTTGTTATTATAGCTATTAAACAGATAAAATCAACAAAAGAAATTCCATCGCACATTACTTTTTTCTGTCTTAATCATTAATATAAATGAAGCTTGAATTTCAAAAACTTGCAACGATGCATACATCTTTCTTTTTGTTCTTCTAGATGATTATTAAAATAAATTTTAGTTGTTCTAGAGACTTGAGTATCATGTTCGTCGATTTATCAGTATAATTTTGATGTGTGTATAGATGAGCGTAATTCACACGTAGCAAAAAAATACAAAAGAAAGTTATGAAGGCAAAGAAAAAAGTGACATAAAACAATATAATAAGTGAAATCGATTGTAGAATCTTAAATTAATGAAATGGATAACGAGTTCAGTTAAATTTTGTTTTCTTTTTTCCAGTAAACGGTTAACTCATCATTACTAATCGACTGATTCTTTTGTTTTAAAAAAGCTTATTGGTTGGTAAACTCCTCTTTCAATCGCATATTATTATGCTAATCCTTGTAAATAAAATCTTTTTTTCTTTTGCTTTCTCTTTTGCCTTGATTTGCTGAATAAGATAAGGACCATTGAACAAGTAGTCTATTTCCTTTCTGTTACATGACGTTATCATAAAAGAAAAGAGTACTAGAGAATATAACATTGCCAATGACGATGGCAATGACAAGAAAGAAACCTAAAGAAAGCTGTTTTATGGTTATGATTGCTTTAAGTATTTGATCAGAACGATTCGGCTGATTGTAGTATATTGTTGAGAAAACGGAAACACGAGTAATAGATCTTTATTCATCTGATACAAGCATTCAAAATTTATCGGAAGGTAGAATAAAATGAAGAACTAATATTACTATTATTGAATGGATTATAAAACTTCAAGGTAAGTTTAGATATGATAGAAGACGTGTCGACATATTAATTGTAAATGGCAAGTAAGGACAAAACACATTATTCATGTACAAGCAAATCTCTAAGAAATCTAATTGACAGATGTCGACTATAGAGAAAAAAACGTAGAAGTGATTCAATTAATTAATGTCAATATTCATTGGTGCATGTGACAAGTTTCTTTTCTTTTTCTATTATTAGTTTTCTTAAATATCCAATGGATTCTGACACGATGAACAAATGAGTTCTTTCTTTTTTTTTCGAGTATTTTATTCATTATAACGTATTCAATATTATAAAGATTTTTCTTCATAAAATATGAACGATAATATCAATTATTTTTCTGAAGATTTTACACATTCTTCTGTTAATCATCGTTATTATTCGACAATTTCAAACAATATTCAATTACGTAGAAATAGTTATCAAATGGCTATGCTTACATCAAAACAAGATCGTCTAGAATTGTTATATTCTACTTCTGCATCTATATCTTCTATTATTGATCATATTAATACAACTCGATCATTATGTACAATATCTGATGGTTGTTCATATTGTGTAAATGATTATATACAACGAAGTACTAGTCAACCAATAGTTCATTCTTCTGATAATGATGTTTTATTAGAAAATGCAACATTTTTACTTGATTCTCCTGTTCATGCTCTTCATCCTACTCATCATAAATCTCATGGAATACTTTCATTAAAAAATCCATTTTCAACTAGTCATTCATTAATTACTAATGAATGTTTAAATGAAAGAAATGATTGTTTAAATTCATCAACAATATCAATTATATCTGTTTATCGAATTGTATTTCTTCGTTCATTTGCATTAGTTTTAATTTTAGCATGTTTATTTACAATAGAAGTACTTCAAACATCAATCTATTCCAGTGAATATAGTTTTCAAATATTATTAACATTACATTTAAGTTCATCGATTATTGCATTTATTTTTTCTGCATATACATCACATATTCAATTAACGCGTTATCGTTGGAAAATTTCTGATATATTTGCATATGATCGTTGTTCACAAATTTTAATTATTTTTACAACTATATGTACTTCATTATGGATCATAATGCAATATTTTTATTCATTTTATTTTCTTTTACTTATAAGTACAAGCATAACTGGTATTAGTCTTAGTTGTTTGATAATAAAAACCTTTGATCATTTATTACAATTATCAGCAACATTACCAATTGAAAATAATAAATTATTAACTAAACGTATTAATATATTTATATGTATTTATAATTCTATGTGTCATTTAGCATTAACTATTGGTGGAATTTGTCTTTTAATGGTTATTTTATTTGAACAACAGAAATATAAATATATATTAATTGGTTCTCAATCATGTCTTTTAATTTCATGTACACAATTAACAAATCAACAAGATGACAATGAACTATTTTTTAAACCATTAACACAATCAAAGTCAATAAATTTAACAATGTATTTAACAAAAAATCAACAAGGTAGATTTTAATTTTAAAAAAAAAGGCATGTACCTTTTAGATGATTGAATAAGATTATTTTCTAGTATGGGCAGATGAACCAACACGTTATATATTTTTTGTTTGTTTAATTATTTTAATAATAATTAGTTTATTTATACAAGTTACGACCGAATGGACAACATCAATAATGAGTATGAGTAGACGATTATCAATATTATATTATTCAAATAAAGATTTATTAAATGATACATCAAAAATTGTTCATTATAAACATTATTTATTTGCTTTATTTATTGGTTTTCAAGAAGGTTATATTTTTGGAAATATTATCAAAGTAATTATGAAAGTTCAATATATAACTTTTAAAAGATTAATTGGTAAAAACATTACGTGAAATCTCCTACGTTAGTGACTAAAGGTCGTTAAAGTTAGTTCTAGTTTTAATCTGAACTTCGAAGTAAGAATTAGTCGACTCTTATTAGTGACAACATGAAACACGAAATGATTTTAAACTGCGTTTGTTAAGAAACACAGCTTACAAATTTTATGTTACCATTACAATTCTGACAAAAATTGTTGATGTTATTTCTAAATTAATTTTGACAGAACTTGAAGATTAGAGTCCTACATCAGATCGAGTTGATAAATCCGAGAAGTTCTTTCCTATGCAAGATACTTTGAATGGCTCTTATGTACTATTGATTCAATGTCTATAATCAACATGCCCAGCGGGCTAATCATAAGAAATGGTTATTGTAGTCGATGCATCTAGTGGTGAATTTATTGGATTTATCAACTTGATTCGATTCAGGACTCTATTGGAGAAACATGATCATATGCAAAAGTTTTCAAGTTTTTATCTCTTATTATTATGTCAAAGAGATTTATTTCCTAATCAAATATAATAAGATAGTATTGATAAGTTTTTCGATATTTCATTTAGTTTGATGTAACATGTCTTTATGGTCTTCGACATACAGCCGAAATGTTGATTATCTATGGATTAGGTGCAACAACATCAAGTATATTATTGGCTTTGATTATTAAACGTATGACAATGATGGTAAAAGGAAAATATCATTAGAAAAAAATTTTTTTTTTGTTTTCATAAATTTTTATTTTATTTAGACTTGTGTATCATTTACAACACTTCTTCATTTAATAACAATTATTTTATTATTTCTTATTCGAATACAAAATGATCTATATAATGTTCAACCATTAATTTTGAAATATATTCTATTTTTTTCTTATGGAATTATTCTTGGTTTATGGTCAACAATTTCTATTTGTGAGTGATTTATGTTTAAAATATAAACAAAAAAAAAAGAATTAATTAATCTTTTTTCTAGATTCTATATGTAATTCAATGAAATTTTCTTCATCATCAACATTTGCTCAATCATTAGCTCTTCGTTATGTAGGTCGTATTATTGCTTATACATGTATTTTATTTCTATGTCAATCATCTTTTGTTTATATTGATACATTCTCTTTATTATTTTTATTTTCTTTTATATTCATATGCTATTGTTGTTGTAATCAATAAAAATTTAAATGAACATTTTGTTTTTTTTGTTTATATATATTTTAAGGAATATAGAGAGACTATATCTTATGTTTAAAGAGAACGAAAGTATAAAAAAAAAAAAAAAGAAAGAAAGAAAAGAAAAGTAACGCATAGAACAAAGAGACAAACGCCGAATACTGATAACATCAAGGCAGCGTAATATATATATATATATATATGTATATAGAAATTGTTTAGATTTTGGTGGCCGGCTCAATATGTTTTAGTAAATAATGGAATGTAATCATTTCGATGTTTTTTTTTCCTTTTTTTTTTCTTTTTAAAGACAGAATGTCTAACAGAGGTAGCAACGATAAAATGAAGAATAAAGAAAAATGACAACGAGAAGGAGGAGCTCTAACCCTGAGCAAGGCTATGTTCACATTTTGGAAAAATAAGCAGACATATATAAGAAGAGCGAGAACAAAAAAAATGAAATTACACGCGCAGACACACACACAACACACAAACACACAAGCAAAATGCGATAGAGAATAACACTCACTGTGTATGAGACAAACGAAAAATGAGGATAAACAATAACAGTGTAATTGGCTTTTTTTTTCTTGTTTTCTATTATTATTATTTTTTCCCTCTCTCAATGATTGCCATTGTTTAAATCGCCAATAGCACTGTTTCGCATTGTTGAATTACCACCATTAAGTGTCTCTGATACACTTGCGTTTGTTGCTTCAGATTGTAAATCATCATCAGATAATTCGGAATAATATTTTGTTGATGTTACAAGTGTTCGAACGTAAGATGTTGAAGAACTATGCGCTGTTGAAGGACTAAAAAAATAAATATTTTATAAAAAAAACAAAGAAATAATAAATATGAATTAGAAAAGCATATAGAAAAAGCTAAGTCTTGTATACATTCATACAATACAACATTAATCGAACCTTATTGGTCATTGAAAGTCATGAGAATTATGTCGAGAACTAATTGGTAACAAAAAAAGGATTCAATTAAAATAATATTGACATGCGATAGTCTTCAGAGTCCTTTCAGTATCATGCATATGTAGTATCATTGTCTTATCTGTTGGGAACGGAACTAAGAGTTTGACTATAATTATAGATTTAAATATTTATGTGCAAGAGAAAGAAAAAAAGATAAGCATTGCGCAGAAAGCGATCGAATAAAAAAAACAAAAACTATATGTTGAATACCTCATCATTTTTATCATCATTTAATTTGACGACTCGATTGGATGCAAGATCAGTCATAGATGTATCTCTTCTGATTTTAAATAAGTTAAGAAAGAGAAAAAAAGAAAAAATAAGTTTAACAAAATTTCAAAAACTGATCCTTATTACAAAGAGAAGAAAAGAAAAGAACTAAAGATCGAAATGAAATTTTGTTTTCTTACCGTGTTCGTTGATAAGCTGGATTTTCTTCAAATTCATCTTTTTCTCGTAATGCTTTACGTAAGCGTTGTTTCATTTGTGTTACTTCTTCTTCTAATTCTTCTTCTCTTCGTTTCATATTACGTACACGTACACTTGCTTTTTCAGCCTTTATAAAAACGAAAAAACAAATGTTTAAATATTAAAAGCAATCATCATTACTTGTTCTTTATAAGCATCTGATTGTTTTCGAGATTCATCAGCAACAGCAGTTGCATCACGAAGACGTTTTTCAAGTGTACGAACACTTCGACTAATCTTTTGTTTTTCTCTATAAATATGCATAAACGAATATTTAAAAATTTTTTTTTTTATAGTTTACACATACCGAACTTCGCCATCGAGTTGTTCTTCAAGTGCATGAACTTTAGCTTCAAGTGCTCCAAGCATAGCTCTTGATTTTCCTTTACCAAATTCTTCATTTTCTTCAAGTTTTTCACGTAATTCTCGATTTTGTCGTTCAAGATTACTACGTACAGCCTAGAAAAAAAAAACAAAATAAAATTTTGTTTGTTTTTTTTCCTTCTCTGATAAACTTACTTCAGCTTTTTGATTATTGGCTTTTTCAGCAGCAAGATCAAGCATAAGTTGTTCAACAGTTATTGCTAATTTTTTATGTTTATCACCAATTATTTCTGTATTTGTTTGTTCTTCTTCTAATTCTTCTTCAAGTTGTACTATACGTGCTTCAAGTCGACGTTTTTCATCAATAAATGCACCTCTGAAAGCAAAAAAAAAGACAACAATTTGTTTTTTTTTGGTTAAGAATAGAAAATAAATGAATAAACATACTTTCCACTACCGAGAGAAGCTAATTCTTGTTGAAGTTCATCACGTTCTACTTGTGCTTGACGACGTTGTTGATCAACCAGATCTTTTTCATCCATTAATTGTTGAAGACTTTGTTCAAGAGTTTTGATTTTTGTTTGCCATTCTTTAGCATTCATCAATGATTCATTACGTATGACTTTAATTTCTTCCATTTCACGTGTTACTTCAGGAATTTGAGTCTTTAAGAAGAAAACAAAAAAAATAAACAATTTCAACGATTGACATAGAAGAAAAACTGTTAGCACAATTTCTATGGGTATGATAAAACTATGATAGCTTTCGATTTTTCTTAATCGGTGATGTCATTTGTTGAAATTCTTCGAGTTCGATTTTTCTCGTTCAAGAAAGGTTTATTCATGTTTTATAAAATGTAGCAATTTTCTTGAAATAGACCTCCTCTGATCGAAATCAACCTAAGATCAGCGTAGTTATACTATGTGTTCACAGTCTTCGTCGTTATTTTATATAGATCGATGCATCTTTACTGTAGTTGCTATTGCTAATTATAGTGAGATTGTTTTCTTCTATCTATTTTAGGACAGATTTTTTTCATCATTCTTTTAATTAATTAATATATAATAATTACTTGTAATCGACGTGTATTACGTAATGCTTCTTCTTTTTGTTTATTAGCTTCATCAATTTGTAGACGTGAATCTTGAAGATCAATTTCAATTTTTTTACGTTGTTGAAGAATTTGTTGTTTAGATTTTCTTTCTTCATCAAGTTCTAATTCATATTCTTTTAATTGTTTATTTAATGAACGTATACGACCTTCAATTTGTTCATTATTTTCATGTGCATGTTTTTCCATTTGTTGTTTAAGTGCACCAATATTAACTTCACAACGTAAACGTGCATCTTCAGCTGTTTGTAATTCATCTTCAAGTTCAATTATTTGTTGTTTTTGTTCTTCAACAGTTGATTCTGAAAAGAAAAATAATTATAGTATTCTTGGTGTTTTTTTTTGTCATACGAGTCTGACAGATCATCCTGCTCATCTGTAGATGAATTTATAAATTTTATTTCTTGAACTTTCAAAGAGAAAAATTATTTCCTGTCCAGATAGACAATGTTATCGAGTACCATGTTAACTAAGAGAAGAAATGAGTAGCTATAATACAATTGAACTGATTTTCAATGCATTTGAATACTTTAATAAACGGAAAAAGATAATGTTATTCTATGAAAATTACAGTACCGAGCTGCCAAAAATGTTTTTCCAGGATGGTATAACTCCAAGGGCAAATGATGTCAACATTGAATTTTATACCAAATTAAAGTGCGTCAAAAATGGGATTTATCAGCACTAAATAGTAGGAGTTATAGCAATTTTTCAATTTCCAATTCATATAATTTCTAGAATTTGATGCCATATTGATAAAGAAAAATTTCTCGTATGAGGCGGTTCAACCTAGGTCTAATTTTAAATAATGAATATCACAAGATAATCGATATCGAGTCTGGAAATATTGGAACAGTAATCAAAAATGAAGTTAAAAAATAATGTTATCAGAGACGGAACATAAACATTATCACGAAGAAACTCCGAAACAGCGCATTTCAGACGTTTTGACAAACATGAAAACAAACATTGAGTTATCTTAAATTCTTTGATGTTCTTATCCGTTTCATCATCATGCTATTAAGGATGCTAATAGTTCTCTTACTGCTTGTTGATTATATTAATTAAATCTTTAAAAATATAAGCCATCTTGTTATGTTCATCATTTAAAATTAGATCTAGTTTGAACTGCTTCATACAAGAAATTTTTCTTTGTCAATATGGCGTCAACTTTTAGAAATTATATGAATTCGACATTGAAAACTCGCTATAACCTCTACTATTTAATATCAATAAATCCCATTTTTGACACACTTTAATTTGATACAAAGTTCAATGTTGATATCATTTGTCCTTCAAGGTGTACTATCCTGGAAAAACATTTTTGGCAACCCTGTAGTTTTGAGTACACAAATGATCATTCATATCATAAAAAAAAAAAAAAACTAACAACGAAAAATTAGTCTATGATACGACAATATAACTGCAGCATTACATTTTTCTACCAGGTGGCAACCATGGACTTAATAATTGATCTTCGATTTCATTTTCTGAATCTTCGTCCACATCACTACTAAATAAACCACCTATAATAAAAATAAATAAACAAGATGAACGTATATTTAATTCTACTATTAAAGAAAAGAATTAATTTTATTTCTTGATATAGAATAACATATTTTTATCCTGTTAGATATTGATAGTTAATGCAAAGAATGTTTTGTTCGATGAAAAAATTCAATCATTGTCATAAAACAACAAAACAGAAAGAAATTCCGATAGAAAAACAGGTCAAACTATTTAGTACAAAGAGTCTTTAAATGTTGTCAAGTATCTTGATGGTAAACGAGTTGTTTTTCGAAGAGAAGAACTAATAGAAAAACGAAGATTATTTGTAGCATGAAAACAACACAAGTGCAGGTGACTTCGGGATGAAAGTTGGTGTGAAGGGCATGAAGTCACATCCTCTGTTTAGCTCAAATGCCTTAGTAATCATTGTAATAGATTTTAAATCTATTTAATCGATGTCGAGTGTTTTTGTATAAACGAACGGGCCAGCTGTAAAATAAATACTTAGAGAAAAGTGAAGAACCTATGGCTGATATAATTACATTGTGGCATGCAAAGTACCTCTATAGTGACAAATAACAATTATCATGTCAATATATCGGAGATTTATGCTAAACTATTTTAAATTTTTTCATATGATTATCGAGTCATGCTTGAATATTTTCTTTCGTTATCTTTATTTTTGAAAACTCTTTTTAATACATTCCTGTAGAAAACAAATTTATACCTGAAAATTGGTTTCTCTTGAAAAAGGACATTTTGTTTTTGCAATATCAACAACAATCCGATGTTCTCAAGTGCTGAAAAGTTTCTGAATTAAAAATGTTATGCTACATACTAGTGATGAGTGAAATCAATTATTTTTGATCCTGGTCTCTGATGTTATTCCTTTTTAAGAAAATATTTAGTTCCTTTACCAGTCAGATATGAGCATGGTTCATTTTTTAAAATATTCAACCGAACTGACACCGACTGAAGTCACGAATCAAGTCATGCCTATCTCTAGTACTAGTTCTAGAGAGACTGGAAACAAAGACACCTTGTCCATATCTATTTATGTGGATCTATAGCAATGTTGAAACTCTACTGTTTAGCAAATTTATCTGAACGTCTATTATTGTTTTTATTTAGAAACGAGCAAGGAACAAGAATGACTTATATTGTCGATGATATTTTGTCATTCGACATCTTTTCGTACTGATTGATTGAGTTATACATGTATGCCAGAGAAAGAATGATCAGTGTTAATTATAGCTTTTCATTAGAGCTAGGTAAATCACACGAAAGATACCTCAAGTTCAAGTGTAGTGGAGTCAGACTTGAATTAGTCTTTTCTACGTGCAAGATCTTTAGAAGAATACTGTCTGTACTGAAAAATCTATTCATTGAATTTGAATCCATAATCTAGGTTTGTCATATCAACTTTGTGGAACGATTTGCCAGGAAAAGAACACTCGTTATAATCGTGACCTGCTAATGGATATGAGATATTTCAAATAATTATTAAGAACAAAACAACATAAATAAAAATATCTCTTTTCACTTAAATTATTTTCTGCCACATAAAAAAAAACTATTAATTGGTTTCTTTAGATTGAAAAAGTGTTTTTTATAAGTTATATTTCGGAATCAATATTGTGAACAATGAAAAGATTAATCTTTATGAATATTCAAATTCACGAAAACTACGTAGAAGTTAGAATAATTTTATTTTTTCTGTTCTGAAAGATTGTCGATTAGAAATCAGTGAAAACATACCTGTACTTGGTGATTCTAGTACTTGACGAGAACATTTTGCTGGCGAATCTGTGTCTATTGTAGCTAAAGATCTTTTCCTTGGTGATGGACTTAAAGATTTTTGTGGACTTAATGGAGGTTCAATTTTCAATAAACGAAATTGATGTAAATCTTGAAGAATGACGAGCTTTTCAGGAACATCAAATATGGTCCATATTAAATCAAAATTAATATCATAATTTGTAGGCTTGAGCGTCATCATATCATATTCTTGTAAATAAAGTTTTTCAATTTGAACAAAAAAAAAAAAAGAAATGTAATCAAACATATCGAAATACATCACGAGTGAACATAAGGATTCATTTCTAAATCCTCTTGGTATCAGACTTAGTATTGAATCCATATCGGTATCGAAAAGCTTCGTCGAGTTTTTTATGAAGGGTAAATCAAATCAAATATTCAGGATATGTTCAAGACCTTATAAGCATTTTGGAAAATTTCCATTGAATATTCTAGAAATTTATGCAAGTTCACATATATTTGTAAGACGATCATCTCAGGATTTTGAATTAAATACAATTTACTAGTTCAAAAATATGTAAAACATGTCAATCCTTTAATTTTGATCTGCGGATAAATTAGATAACAAAGACGTTTCTTTAAAACGTTAATCAAATATTTAAGACAGAAAATTTTCATGAGACATATTCATACTAATTAAAAGGAAAATAAAATATATTTATAGATATCCAATCCATTGGAGCTAGAATACATGCAAATAAAACAAGTGAGACGTTTTTCAATTGTAATAGAACAATGTACTGATACTTTGATTTATACTGGAAAAAATGTACTTGAAACTATACTTGATACTTGTACTCATGTTGCAAAAAAGCGCATATCGAGATTTAGGGACTTGCGATTTTTTTCAGAATATAAATTGGTCTGTCTGTTTTCAAGAACTTTGAACTTATAGCAGATTGTAATTTTTTTTATAAAATATTCAAAAAGAAAATTGAAGTACTGTTACTGAAAAAAAAACCAAGTCAAGTCAAGTGAAACTATTTAGTAAATAATTCATTTGATGTTTTATTCTATTTGTGAATCCTGAAATTAACAAAAGTCAATTCCTTTTAAGAATTTTTCTTCTTGATTTTGTGTTTTCTAATTTTTGCGATAATCAATATAAATGACTCTTGAGCTATTCGAGTGGCTTTCGAACATTTCTGTGAAATTCACTATACACTTCGTGTCTTATGAAATTTATCTACTGCTAGTAGTTGTTCATGTTTAAGTATTTCAGCATCTGTATAATAGAAATGAACAGAGTAATTGCAACATAATTCAGTTTGTCATCGCATATTTGCTCGAACTCTTTATTCTCATCATTTCGTGTCCCCTAATACTATGAAAAGATGATTTCCATGAAAGGTTTTCGGCATAACTTTTGAATACCTTTACTAAATATATATAGTTCCAAACAGATGCTCATGTATCAATGTAGCTTGCTATTGACTATATTAAAACAATTTTTGTAATTATGTTTGTACAAATCAGTAATATTTTTTTGTGAGTATAAGTGTAAATTGAAGAATTTCACTATAGCATTAAAATAGAAAATCTATGTTTCAGGTATAGATTTGCAAATGTAGTTATCAATATAGATATATTCTCACCGTACATCGACACCTAGAACTCATATTCACCTCAGGATAGAATCTAAACCTTATTTGTTTCATTTGAATTCTACATTGTAATTTCAGTTCACTGTGTGCCTATTTATTATTGGTTTTCTTTCACATAAATTGATTAAGGTATCCAATATCGTTATCTCATTTGAATGATATAATATACAGTAAATGAAATACATAACAACTATTCTCAAATAGAAGAAAGCTATTGAAAGTCGATGACTTTTTAAGATTTAACTATGCTATTTAATTCTTTCAGTTTCATAGTAGCAAAAAAAAGCTATGTGTGCTTTATAATTATTTTTCATAACATAATTTATACAAACTCGCATCTAATCTCTTGGAATAAAGAGATAAAGAATGCTTTGAAATCTCTGTCAACTATTTGTAAACAGAATGTGTATTCATTCGTTGGGATGGTTCACATTGGTGACCAAATTTCACGGATAAGAAGAGACGAACGATGCCTGTTGACGAGTCTAAAGGACGATACAGATATTACAGTACGAAAACTTCTCCAGCGATTAGTAGTATAAAATACAGTTTTTGTGGCATTTCTGTTTGTGGACAAAAAAAAAAAAAAACTAAAAATTGTTTTTGTTATTTTATGAAAAACTTGTCTAAGTTTTGCAGTTAATAAACTTAAATAATCAAAGTTTCTGTTCAAGTATATTAAAATTCGATAAAACTTATACTAAGTACGACAGATGTGAATATAGACGAGCTATTTATGCCTTGTGTCTGTATCTAAAATAAACTAATCTAAAAGTCTACTTCAATTGAATCCAGAATAAATAATTTGAGACTGAAAAGGTCAAAGAAAGCGCTATTTCCTCAGAACAGTGAAAAACTATTGAATCTCGAAGTGTCTCATTAAGGTTCCGTTGTCGCACATTTCAGTACCAACTTGTGACGGAAGAGTGATACAATCACTTATCCTTCTCGGTAACAAAAATATCATTATGTAGGATTGCAGATCTTTTTTTTTTTTTTCATTTGTTTTCGTGTCCTCGAATATGACTTACATACATGATGAAGACTGGTATTATGGTAAGCGATGGTAAGGATTACACATAATTGAAGGAAAATTACGAATAGTAAATGTTTCATCGCAATCTCGAAAAAGTAATCGATTTCTTCTTCATATTAAGTATCAATATAGAAAAACTTCTTTCTTGTGGATTACTTCGAGAAATTTTATTAGCCTTAGCTTAGGTAGAAAGTAGCAGATGTTGATCCGAATGAATACTTTTCTGCTAAAAAAACAAGATAACAAATCATTTCTCAGTTTGAATAAAATCTTCTTGCTTGTTCTTCCTAGGTTTTTGGAAAATCTCTAATAAACTACAGATCTTTTTAAAAGTCTTATATGATTTTTGTATTCTGAATTTCATAATCACACCAACAAAATTAATTAAAACTTTATTCTATTTATTTTTTTCTTACATTATCCAGATGGTAATCGAAATTTAATATTAAAAACTACAAAATGGATTTATGTTGAATATTTTTCTCAAATATTTTCCAGTACTTATATCTTCCTAATCTAGATTAATCATAAAAACTCGATGATGAAAACTACTCTGAATAAACTATGTTTGTTTCAAATAGATAGAAGAGTTTTTCTTAATTCAAGATAGCTATATTTAGAGGCAAAAAAATCAATAACATACTAGTATTTTACTCATCATCACAAAATAAGAGCATGAAATTACAGATGAGTATTCTTTTAAACTATTTTCATCGATTCGATATTTAAACGAGACTTTAGAAACTGCTATAAGATCTTAACTTTTTTTTCCCTGCATTATTATGTCATACAATTTAAAGAGTTAAATTTCTCTACATACTCAACATTTTTCATAAAAAAAATAATAAATCATTGTAAGAATCAGCTCTTTCTTTACATTCTTTTTGCGCCTAATTATAAACATTTATGCACAAAAAAGATCTATTTAAATAAGATCGAAAAAACATTAACAATAATCATGACATCTGTTCGACTAATATATGATGATCGATTCAAATAAACGAGTTACATTATAATTTCAACTATAGTGATTTTCAACATTTGATTTTCATTTGCACATTACACTTTGTTTCACATTTTTTTTTATCGTACCTATACATGACACAGTGTACTAATACATAGCCGGATAACTTTTTATATTACGCTTTCTTTCTTGTATTATGACATATAGAGTTGATGTGTTCGTATAGAGACCATAGCCAACATACCTTCAGATGAGCTCTATATGTCATAATCAGTGTTGCCAGATGCGAAATCCGAAAATCCGGAATTCCAATCTCAAAATCCGGAAAATTCCGGAATTTTTTTCTGAAATCCGAAAAAACCGGAAAGATTTTCGAGGGTCTGTTTTGATCGCTTAAAGTGCATTTTTCTTAATCAAATTATCAATAATATTATTCTTTATTTTCACAAAATATATTTGAATGAAACAATAGAAAATGCACTTCAAAACATAGTTAATTCAATAAATCAGAAATTATCAATGACATATTTCACTGTTAATTTACACGTCATTTTTTAGGACAATATTTTTCATTAGAATGAATAAGTTTCAATAATTCTAGTTGTGATAAGAATAAATTATAAATCTCTGAACTAGGGATGTATCGAGACTGAAGATTCCCTAAGAAAGATAGGTATTTTTCTGTAAGCAGAATCCCCGAGACTCGACGAGATTTTTATCTAGAGTTGCTCAGCATGATTTGATTTATATGTGCATATAATTGGGCAGATCGATTCCGAAAGTAAAAGGCCGAGTCTCGGTCAAAATTCCGTTTTTTTCAATCTTTTGACTGAAACTGACCGAGACTCAACCTTTTACTTTGGGAATCGATCTGTCTAGTTATATGCGCATATAAATCAAATTAAGCTGAGCAACTCTAGATAGAAATCTCGTTGAGTCTCGGGGATTCTTCTTGGAGAAAAATTCCCATTTTTATTAAGGAATCTCCAGTCTCGGTACATCCCTACTCCGAAAACGATAAACTGAAAAAATCATAAATCTGTGAAAATCCGAAAACAATCTGGAAAAAAAGCCGAAATCCGGAAAAAATCCAGAAACCAGAAAAAATTCGGAAAAACTTGCAAAATCCGGAATTTTTCTGGAAAATCCGGAAGATCTGGCAACACTGGTCATAATACAAGAAAGAAAGCGTAATATAAAAAGTTATCCGGCTATATATTAGTACATTGTGTCATGTATAGGTACGATAAAAAAAAACAACATGTGAAACAAAGTGTAATGTGCAAATGAAAATCAAATATTGAAAATCACTACAGTTGAAATTATATATACACATATACATAAAATATAAAAATCCAAGATATACAATATAGGTAGAGGACTACTATAGGATAATAATAGTAAATATATGACCAATCTATATCAGTCTATAGTATATAAAAACCAAACAACACGACATCATGAAATTTAAAAAAAGTAAAATTCTAAATGATACTTTTAATTCTTCCGACTATAATAGTTTTCTTCGTTGAAGAACACAAAAAATATTTGATGATAGGTTTACTAAATTCAAAGTT